GATATCCTTATTTATTTGTTGTAAATGTTGCTGCTGTGTTTTGTCTCTCGTGTGTGTGTGTGTCCACCCACCCAGGTGAGGATTTGTAAGGTTTACATGCTCGTACACTATTGCGGGGACCCGGGAGCCTGCAATAACAATGAAGCCAAAAATCTGCCTTCCCCCTGTCCTCCCACCCCTCACATCCCGAGCTCCGTGGGCTGGCTGCTGTTTGGAGGGGATGCTGTAGCTTCTTTTCCTCTCCCTGTTCCCCTGTTCCCTGCATTTTCCTGTTCACCCTCTGGGGGCTCAGTGAGGGCTCACTCAGCCCCAACTCTGAGCAGACCAAGCTCCATCCCTCAGCTGAGCAGGGCGAGGAAACTGCTGGGCACCACAACATCCCTATTTCCTTCATTCCCTTCATTTTCTCACTGCATGAAAAAGTATTAATGGAGCCCAGAGCTGGGTTTTGCTTTCAGGCAGATTCCTTTGCTGTGTTCTGCTTTGCAATGGTGGGAAGGTGTTTGGTGGTGGCTGTGACCCATCCTGTGTGCCCAAGGGGCAGCTTTGCTCTGTCTTGCAGGGACAGGGTGACAGGGGAGTGCCAGGCTGGGCTGAGCACAGCTCAGGGTGGCTCCTTTCCCCACCGCTCCCACAGGACATGGGAGGTTTGCTGTGACCCCAAATGGAGCCACTTGCACCCAGCTTGGAGGAGGCAAAGGGCTGGGAATTTACACCTGGGGACACTGAACTGCAGCCTCAGGCCTGCAGGGCCCCTCCAAACTCCATCAGCACCCAGCTCCCCTCTGGGATGTGCCCCCAGCTCAGCCCACACCATGGGGCACAGTTGGCATCTCTGCTGGAGAAAAGGAGAGATGTGAAAAGGAGAGCTGTGCATTCCCTCAGGAGCAGAGTGCAAGAAGCCTCTGGGACCCCTGAAGCCACCCTGGGGCCTCACCCTTCCATCTCTGGCCCAGCTGATGGCAGCAGCATCTTCCCACCCAGCTGTGTCCCAGCTGCTGTGGCTGAGCCCAGACACAGGACTGTCCCCTGGCAGGGGGAGGTGACATCTGCCTGTGGGGGACAATGTGACAGTGTCTCACCATGCAGGAGAGAAGGTGGTGCCTCAGCATTCCCTGAGTCCTCCTGGCATGGCAGGGACAGATGTCCCAGCCAAGGGGTGCTGGTTCTTCACCGAGCAGCCCCACTCCCCAGCTTTGGGATTTTGTGCTTGTGGAACTTCTTGACCCCCATAAAAACCACCTTTCCCATCCCCAAGGAGACTGACCTCACATCCACGTGCAATATTTCTGCCTCTGCTGCAGTTCCTGCCCTGAGGATGCCCCTGTTTCACTGTGGGGGTGCTTCTGGAGGGGGTCCCTCACTCACTCCCATGGAAACCTCCTTCTCCTTGTTGCTCTGTGGCCAAAATGCAACTCTCTGGGGTAGGTTTTTGCAGTGCCTGCAACTTGTTGAATGCTCATCTGCCAGACTGGTCCCCTCCTGGTGCCAATCAATGTTCCCAATGAATGTGACACTGCTGTAATCACCTCTGCTGATGAATGATGGCCCCTGCCACGTTTGACAGAGTTCCCAGGCAAAGGCACATTCACTCTGACACTGTTCCCTTGGAAAGCTTTCAATTTTTGCAGGAGCTGTCGTGGGTTGAGCTCCATCAGTGCCCACAGATGTGTCCCCAGGGACTCAGCCCTGCCAGGGCTCCTGGCACCCTGCCCCAGTGTTCCCCCTTGGCTGTGGATTTGGGACCCTGGCTTGGATTCTCCTAGTCTCACTTTTGGGGAGCACTGAGGGCCCCCAGTTCCTCCTGACCGCCACCAGGATCTTGGTATCACTGAGAATAAGGCTTGGAGCATCTCGTGCTTGGAAATGTCAGCCTTAACCTCCTCGTGCCTCAGTTTCCCCTCAGTGGAGTGGCTGGGGTGAGCCCTCCCCCTCTGAAAGCAGTTTGGGGTCTGTGCTGGGTATGGCTCAGGGCTGTGGGCACAGGGCTTGGCAGGACCCACCGGGCACCAGGCACTGCAGGACAGCAGGAACAGTGCAGGGAACACTGGGTTTGTCAGTGAGTCTGTAATCCCAGCCTTGTCTTACACCTGCTCACGATGGAACAGGCAGCAAGCCCTGGTTTGTCTCTGTGCCTGTCCCAAATAGAGCCCTGGCCATGGGAAGGGAGCCCCCAGCACAGCCAGGCAGAGGTGAGGCTCCAGCCCTGGTCACTGTGGCATGTGCCCCCTCTCATTTGTCCCTGTCAGTGTTGCCCCATTAAATGCCATGTCTGTACTTTCCTTTCTTTTCACTTTTCTGTCTGTGTGCTGACTGTTGCTGCTTTGTGTCCGTCTTTCCTTGAGCTCTGGGGCTGGGCTGGGCTGAGCTGTTTCCCCCAGGAGCAAGAACGTGGGAGGGGGCTCTGGGGGCAGATTCCCCCCTGCCCTCTCCTCACAGCACAAACCAGGACCCACGAGAGAGAGAAGGGAAGGGATTTTCCTCTGGAGCAGGCTGTTAATTAATGCAATTTATAACGAGACCAGGCTGGTCCCAGGAGCGCTCTCCACTGGGTTGGTGCAGGGGGGTGTTTGCTCATGGGGGACCCCAGGCCCTGCTTGTGCCAGGCACCAGCTGCATCTCACCCTCCCTCACAGGAGCCTGTTGGTTCTTCCTGTGCCATCAGGACACCCCATTCCTGTGGGATGGGAGGAGCCCAGCCCAGGTCACTGCTCCTCACTGGGATGCAGCTCCCAGAGGGTGGAATTGTCCTGGGGTTTTGGGATCTGGGTTTGAGCCCCACTTGGAGCAGGGCCAGGCATGGCATGGGGGCAGCTGAAATCACTGGCAGAGCTGCCCCCTTGCCATGTATTTAGGGCTGGGGGTCATTTGGGATGGGCTCACTGTCCCCATCCAGGGAGGAGATTTAGTGAGAGCATCTTTCACCTGTCCTCTCCAAGGGCATTGGAGGGGAGGGTCTGGCTGGGACAGAAATAAGGGCTGAGAGCAAAACAGGGAGCTGATGGCTCCAGCCTCAGTGCACAGTTTTGGGGTCTCAGTTCCACATTTCAGCCCTGCCTATTCCAGCAGCGCTGCAGCAAAATCATCCTTCCCTTCTCTCTCTGCTCCCCTGGCCACCAGCCCTGGGCTGGGTGCCCTGTGCCACTGCCCAGGGGGTGGCTGAGCCCTGGGCTGGGAAGCAGCAGCTCCAGCAAAGAGCCTTGTTTGTGGAGATGAAGCCTGTGTGTGTCTCGGCTTGCATGCCCCGCTGCCTTGTCTTGAGATGAATTCAAGAGCAAACCAAGCAAATGAAACAGTTTAATAACAGAACAAAACAAAACCCAGGAACTTTGTGACAGTGGAAATAAAAGCTTAATGACAGTAATGAAGTGGCAGTGGTCTGTGCTGTGGGATATGGGGGGGATCATGGGGGTCCCCAAAGCTGCCCTGGCACCCAGTGGGGCTGGGAGCTGGGCTGGAGGTGCCATAATCCTGTGTCCCAAGCCCAGGGCAGTGATGGCACCAGCACAGGTGTAAATGGGGATGCCCTGGGCTCTGTGGGCAGGCACTGTGCCCGCACTGTGATGAGCTGCCAGGAATCAGCTCCAGGCATCCCATACAGGGCTCTTCCCACCTTCTTTTACCCAGACACAGCTTTCCCTGCTGGGTCCCATCCTCACACAGTGCCTGCACCCCTTTTTCCTTGTACAATGAAGACACAGCCATGTGCCTATGGGCTCTGTCCCAGTCCCCTCTGAGCCCCCTCATTGATGCAGCGGGCTGGGAGCCATTGGGTCACTGTTGGCAGACAGTGGCTGCAGAGGAATCTTGATACAAATATTCCACAATCGTGTCCCAGTGCCTGGCGGTGCCCCTTGGCAGCCCCCTGCTCCTGGCAGGGCTCACAGGGGGCTCACAGCCTCTCACGTGCAGCCTTGGCCATTCTGCTGTGCCAGCTCTCCTGGAAGCGAGCCCTGTGGGGCCTCCCTGGCAGCCACAGCCCCGTGTCTGCTCCCCTAACGAGGCTGGTGACTAATTGTTCTCAGGAGGCCAGAGGAGATGCCCTAATGGTCTGAACAAGGGGGCTGTGTTTGTGCAGGGGTGCTTTGTGCCAGCGCATGGTGGCAGCTCCCAGGGATTCCTCGCCTGTGCCATGGCATGGGCAGGGCAGGCACAGGCTCCAAACCACACTGGTTACCCAGAGCTGTGCATTTACCCCAGCAGGGAAGGGGTTAAAGCCCAGCCAACAGGTGGGACTGGGAGCACTGGTGGGTGTGGGAAGGGCTGGCTGGGATTAATTTGGTGATGAGGAGAAGCTGTTGGGATTTATTTTGTGCCAGTAGTGCTGGTGCTCCCTGCCAGGGTGCAGGATGGATCTGGCATGCAGGCTGGGGATGCTCCAAGGTAGGTTTGGTGGCACTGTGGGGCTGGGAGTGCAAACTCTGGGGATGTGCAAGCCCTGGTTGTGGGACAGGAGGGGAACAAGCCACTGGCACAGCTCCAGAGGCTCAAGTGTCATTGTCGTGCTGTGAAGGGGATGTCCTTGCCTGCTCTGAGGTTGAGCTGGGGATAAAGAAATGCACAGGACGGCCCCACTGTTCTGTGTGTGGGTTATGAGATGGGTGATCTCCTCCTGTGCCTGGGAGGAGCAGGGCTGCCGTGGGGGTGCAGGAGGTGCATGCCCAGCCTCACCTGGAGCCGGCGTTTGGCCGTGGCTGTGCCCTGGCTGCGCTGCGGGGGAGTTGAGCAAGAGCAGAGCATCCCAGCGGAGCCGGGTGAGCTCAGCGCTGCCTGCCCCGGCCAAGCGCTGCCTGTCCCAGCCCAGCCCCGGCCCGGCTCTGTCTGTGCTCTGTGGGGCTCTCTGCTCCCTGTCCGTGGGGTGGCTGCGTGGCTGAGCCCCCACAGAGCCCCCTCGCAGACCCCCAATCCAGGCCCCTTTGCCCAGCAAGGGGGGGTTTGGGTCCTTGGGGCTCCTTTCACAGCTGTGTCTCCCCCGCTGGGGTTTGGCAGGGTTTCCTCACAGGTGCTCAGCTGTGACCCCCGTGTCCTCCCCTAACCCCAGCAGAGCAGGGTCTCTCTGAGCCAGGCGGTCAGGGCAGCGTTTCTGACAACCCCGTGGGCTGCAGGCTCTGCTTCCCAACCCCTGTATCCCCATCCCGCTTCCCTCCAACTCCCACCCACCTTCCAAACGCGTCGCTGGCTCCAAAATTCCGCTTTTTCCTCCCTCCCTCCCTCGCTGCTCCCTGCCAGAAGCCGAGCGCTGGAGGAGCAGGTCCGCAGCTGCGGAGGGCTGGGCGTTCCCAGCCCGGGTCCCTTCGCTGTCCCCGCCGCGTGTGGCCCCCTCGCACACCGCGTCCCTCCCTCCCTGCTGCCGGACGGGCCCCGCGGCTCTGCGGGCAGAACCAGGGGCGCTCCTGACCCCTGAGCGTGTCCCCCGCCATGCCGCCCCACGGAGGGGTGTTGGTGGCTCTCTGCACGCTGCTGGCCCTCGGTGCGGCCGAGACGCCCCCAGGATGGGCCACTCTGGCCTTCGTGTTCGATGTCACCGGCTCCATGTACGATGACCTGGTGCAGGTGATGGACGGCGCCTCCCGCATCCTGGAGCGGACGCGCAGCCGGAGCACCAAACCCATCAGCAACTACGCCCTGGTGCCCTTCCATGACCCAGGTAGGTCCGGGACAGGCTGAGGGTGTGTCCTGCCATGGAGGGGCTGCGGGGAGCTGGGCTGGGTCTGTGTTTGAAGCGTGCACTTCACAAGTGCTTGCACTGCTCCTTCTCCCTGTTTTTAATGCCCTGGTGGCTTCTGTGCTGGGGATGGCACCTCAGCAGCTGGGCTGGGGCTCCTGTCCCCAAGGGATCCTGTGGGCACAGGGTGGGTTGTTTTTCTCTGTATTAAACCCCGGGGGTGCTGACACTTTGTTGTGGGTGGCTCTTCCCCTTCCATCCTGCTCCAATCTCCCTGGAGTAACCATGGGGGAATTTCTGTCCAACTCCACAATGAGCTTCCAGGTCACCTCAGTAAAAACACCACTTGCTAAGAGGCTTTGGTAACTTGCTGTGATACCAGAAAAATTTCTTTCTGCCCCTGCTTTTGTCCTGTTTGTGCACACCCATGTAAGGGCAGCTGGTCCCCAAAAGAGCCCTGGCCTCCTACAAGGAGAGAGGGACCCAAGCTTTATTTTCAGCTGAAACACTGAGCTGAGTGAAACCATTGGAGCCAGACAGGGAAGGAGGCAGAGGCAGTGAATTGATTCCTGCATTGCTTTGCTGGGAGCCCCCCCCAGTAGAAAAGGGCACAGGGTTTGCAGCTCACCCTGGCTGGGACCACCCAGCATGTCAGGAAAATTCCTGGGCATAGGAATAGTCTGCCAAAGCGGTCACAGTATGGGCACAGGGGCTGGTCTGCCCAAAGCCACCTCTCTGCTGGTGCCAAGCCAGCGTAGATGCTGGACCCTGAGTCTCACAGGTGCCAGGAGCACCAGCAGTGTGGGAGGTGTTGGAAGGAGCTGGTGCTGGGCTCAGGGGACTGAGTGGTGGCATCTGTGTGCTCGCAGAGGTGGGACCTGTCACCCTCACCACGGACCCCCAGCTCTTCCAGCAGCGCCTGCGGGAGCTCCATGTCCAGGTAGGCAAACCCAGCCCCAGGCTGCTCTGCCAGGCCTGGGCACTGCATGGTGGGGGGTTCTGAGGGCAATCCCTGCATCCCCCACAAGTGTGGTGGGGGTTCAGGCTGAGGCAGCCTGGCTGGGGGCTGCACACAGGGCTGGGGGTGGAGAGGATGGGTGATACTGGTGCTGTGCCCCAGAGTCCTGCAACAGGGCAGAGAATTCCCAGTCCACAGCTCTTATGCTGATCCCAGAAGCGTTTGCACATACTCTCCATGGAACCAAAAATCTCTTCTACAACCATTGCCTGATAATTGAGTTTTTAATTTGTGTCTTTTTTTTATTATTATTTTAAATTACTTTGTCTGTTTTCTGCCAGCTGAAATGTTCCCCGGGAGCTTAATCCTGCTTTATCCATCCCCGCTCTTGCCCTGCCCCCTGAGAATTGCTAAATCCCTGTGGCTTTTCCCTTTGGATGCAGCTGTTTTGGCAGGAGCTGTCACGCTGAGGCTGCAAATGCTTTCCCAGCCCTTTGGGGTGCCAAGCCCTGGGAAAGTGGGAGCTGGTGCTCTCTGAGGCTTCCCTGGGCTGGCTGGCACAAACGTGCCCACTGAAGGTATCTGTGGGAAGCCAGTGGCTTCTGTGAGCATGGATCCACAGATGGGTGCTTTAATTAGTGAGGCAGGGCTGGGTCCGTGTGATCCTCAGCGTCCCTGCAGTTCCATCCCGCTGTAAAATTGGGCTGTTCCTGGCCATGAGCATCCCCCGGGTGGATCCTGCCGGGATCTGAGCCCTGGGTGTCTCGGTGCCTGTGCCACGTCCCCGTCTGTGTCCCCCAGGGCGGGGGGGACTGCCCGGAGATGAGCGTGGGCGCCATCAGGGTAGCCGTGGAGATCTCCCATCCCGGCTCCTTCGTCTACGTCTTCTCGGATGCTCGGGCCAAGGATTACGAGCAGCAGGAGGAGCTGCTGCGGCTGCTGCAGCACAAGCAGAGCCAGGTGAGCGGCCCCGGCTCCTGCGACAGCAGCGCCGCATCACTGAGACACAGCCATAAAACCCCTGGGCTGGGGGAATTCTGCACCCCTCGATGTCCTGGGGTGCTGGTGATGCCAGCTGTGTCCCTGCCGTGGGTTGCTGTGGCAGGTGGTGTTTGTGCTCACCGGGGACTGCGGGGACAGGAGCCACCCCGGGTACCGGGTGTACGAGCGCATTGCCGCCACCAGCTCCGGGCAGATCTTCCACCTGGACAAGCAGCAGGTGACAGAGGTCAGTGGGGACACCTGGCCCCTTGTGCTGAGGTGAGGCTGTGCTGGCCGGGATGGGAGATCTGGGTTTAATCCTCCCCTGGCTGCCTGCAGGTGCTGAAGTGGGTGGAAGAAGCCATCCAGGCTTCCAAGGTCCACCTGCTGTCTACGGACCACGAGGATGGTGGGGAGAACACATGGCAGGTCCCCTTTGATCCCAGCCTGAAGGAGGTCACCATCTCCCTGAGTGGGCCTGCCCCAGGGATCAGGGTCCAGGATCCAGCAGGTAGGAGCTGGGAAAGGGACAACAAGGGGAGTGAGGCTTTGGCCCCCACCAAGACCTCAGGTGAGGACAAGCAGCAAGGGGTTCACAAACCTACACTAAAACTCAAATGAAAAGGTGATGAGCTACAAAGCCCTCAGTGAACACCAGCACATCTCCCCGCTCCCCTCCCAGGCTGGCTTTGCCTCTGCCTTTGAGGGATTTCCCTGGCTGTGAGCTGTGATGGGCTCTGCACTGCCCTGAGCCCTGAGGGAGGTGATTCCCAGCTGTTGTAGCAGCCAGGGGATGGATTGAGTTGCCCACCTGAGACATTCACTTCTGTTACAGGAAAGGTCCTGGAGAAAGGCCGAGGTCTGAAGGAGCTGCTCAGCATCCCCAACTCAGCCATGGTGGTGGCCCTGGAGCCCTACGAGCCAGGGACATGGCTGGTCACGGTAGGCTGCTGGCAGACTGCACATCCCCTGCCCTTCCCTGATGGATGTTTAGCTTGCCAGGCGTTTCCAGTTGTGGACTATCCCCATCCACCTCCAGCCAAGCAGTTAAAGATGTGTGAGCAGGATAAAATGGGCAGCTGCAACCTCTCCTTTCCCTGCCCTCAATGCTTCTCAATCTGCTTCCAGACCCGGAGCAGCGGCCGCCACTCTCTGAGGATCACGGGCATCAGCAATGTCAATTTTCAAGCCAGCTTCTCCACGCAGCCGGAGTTTGACGCCATCCAGCGCGGAGAGCGGCCGGTGCAGGGTGAGGGTGGTGCTGCCCGGGGCCTGGGTGCCGCATTTGGGCGATTTGCAGCCGGGAATGTGGTTGGTGATTTTTTCCCTCCCCCTTTCCAGGTCTGCCCATCTCTGTGCTGGTGAACTGCAGCGGTCTGAGGCCGCCTGGGCGCCTGCAGGAGATCGAGCTGTTCAACACCTCGGGCCACGTCCTGCTCTCGCTGCCCGTGCAGCCGCTCCTCAACTCCTCCTCTGGCTCCAGCACGCAGCTCTGGGTGGGATCGCCGCTCTGGGTGCCCCCGGGGGACTTTCTGCTGAAGGTGAAGGGTGAGGATGGCCAGGGCCACCCCCTGCACCGCCTCTCAGGGGTCACCTACACCAGCGTGGTCCCCGGTGAGTGCAGCCCGCGGGTGCTGAGCAGGGAGCAGAGGTTGCTGCGCTGCCTCTGCTGTGGTTTCTCCTTGGTCATCCTGCTTCCAAGGGTGCTGTACATCTGCACATCCCCAAACCCTTCCAGGTCTGCCCAAAGTGAACATCTCCAGCAATATCCAGGCTTACAGCCGGGAGCCACAGCTCATCTCCTGCTCTGCACGGAGTGAGATCCCTTTCCAGCTGCAGCTCAGCCGTGGCAGGAGGAAGCTTGGGGAGGAGCAGCTCTTCAGGTGAGCCTCTGGTATGGCCCAGTGAGCCCCAGGAGGGTCCCATGTGGGTCCCTGAGCTGTGACAGATGAGGGGTTGCTTGTGCTGGGTGAGTGCCTTCAGGTTCTGAGCATCCCAAGAGGAAAATCCCAAGGGACAGCTTTGCAGCAAGTGGGATTGCACCTCTGCCTGACTCAGATGGAAAAAAGCCCCAGGGAGTAGGACTAGGATGGTGGCACTGCAGTCCCAAGGTGGGAGTGATCCATATTTCCTTCTCTCCCTTTTTGCAGGATTTCAGGGAACATCAGCTGGTTGATCCCTGCAGTGTCTGAGGGTGATGAAGGCTTTTATGAGTGCACGGCCACGAGCAAGGTCGGCGTGTCCCGGGCCCGTGCCTACCTCTCTGTCTCAGGTGGGGGCTGCTTGTGCCAAGCCTTGGAGCCCTTCCCATAGCTGGGCACAGGCTCCTTTCACCCAGGCATCCATCCCCTGTTTGCAGAGCCACCACCACGTCTCATCACCCCGGGCAACATCACGGCTTCACCAGGGCAGGACGTGGTGATGTCCTGCGTGGTGCAGGGGGACGTGCCCTACAACCTGACCTGGAGCTGGGATGGGAAGGTGGCACAGCCAGGGGCTGGCAGGGCCCGGCTGCTGCAGAACAGCTCCCTGGAGATCAGCCACGTGCAGCCAGGGGACGGGGGCCTGTACGAGTGTGTGGCACAGAGCGCCCATGGCACTGCCACTGCCTCGCTGTGGCTCTTCATCCAGGGTGGGTTGTGCCCCTGTGAGGGACCCTGCCCCATGGTGATGGCATGTGGAGGCTGAGCCCTGCTCCCACCCGTGCAGAGGCACCCTGGGTGAAGGTGGACCCCAGTCCCCAGCGTTTCAGCAGGGGCCAGGAGCTGAGGTTGAACTGCACAGCCGGGGGCCACCCCCAGCCCCAAACCACCTGGAGGCACTGGGGCTGGCCTCTGCAGCAGGATGAGAGGTAACCCTGGGGAGCCAGGAGCCTCCATGCTGGAGTCCCACAGGGATGGGGCTCCCTTGCAGGGATGTATGAAGTGAGGGAGGGAGGCCTGGGGCTGCCACAGCTCTGGGAAGAGGGAGGCATTGCAGTATCCCAGCCCCTGCTCCTGAGCTGCTTGGCATGCTGCTGGCCTTAATTTCCTATATTTATTTTTAAGCTGTCCTGCCTTATCCAGGTCACTGTCCCCACTTTGCACACCTGGTGTGAGCTCAGGTCTCAAAATACACCTTGTACTTCTCCCTTATTTCCTCTGCTTTTTCCCTTTCAACTCCTGCCTGTGTCAGGCTGTGAGTGCAGGGGTTCACTTTGGGGAAGGCTTTTGGGCTTTTGAGATGAAAAAGCCCAATTCTCAGTGCTTTTCCCTGCTTCAAAGCAAAGTCCTTCCCTGCAGCAGCTGGCTCTAAGTGCTGACCCACATCCACCACATGCCCAGCATGGCCTGAAACCTGCTCATTTATATCCACACATTTTCCATCATCCCTGTTTCCACAGGGCTCGTTTCTCCCTTTCTCTCCCATTTGCTGCAGGGTTTTCAGGGATGCTGAGGGTTCCCTGCACATCAGGTCTGCTGTCCCAGAGGATGCAGGGAATTACAGCTGCTATGCCAGCAGCACTCTGGGCTGGGATGAGCAAGTGGTCACC